TTGTTGCTGTTTTTGTGAATCCCATATAAAGGCCTACTCACACACCAAATTTCAAGGGTGGTCAAAAAATTTCATTCCCCACTTTGCTTGAGTCTTACAGAGACCTACTCTTAATATCAATATTAATATTAATATTAATATCAATAGGAAATCCCACCTTAGTTCTCGATGAATAAATGAAAAATATAGCTTGTATTTGATGAATATTATTGTATTAAGTCATTTTTATCAAATATATGTGCAGTAGCTAGTTTTCATTTTATTATTCTTGAATAGTGTAATAGAAAAAAGTATAAATAAATAAATGAGAAAACAGCTCTATGAAATCAAGACAACCAACTTCAAACTTATCATGAACTCTGATTACAAAATCTTCAATTTCAATGTGTAATTTCCTATACAAATATATTCTGCAACTCTTCAATTACTCAATGCAATGCTGATATTTAAACTGTTTTGTTGCAGCATATCTGGTTTCCTTTCTTAATATTTTAAAGAAGGTCCAAAGCTGTAACGAAAATTTTACATGCGTGGTTTACATTATATTGCTGTTAAGTTACGTGATGCAGGTGCCCTTTATTCCCGTGCAGAAATCACCAATTCACGCCGGGCTGCTGGGCTCAGAATCGCGCCTTTTTGACCAGCGGTATATTTTTCAAAATGGCGGACGGCGGAAGTCCTTTGTTATTCAAATTTTTATCATGAATAATAAGTTTGAGATCGGTATTATTGCCCGGCGGTTGACCTTTGAAGAACATAAAGACGCCATTGACTTTGTACGAGAAACGGAGCTTCAATCTAAGACCTTTTTTCGAACTGAAAGGTACGTAAAACCACAAAAATTGTCTTTAAGTGAAGTGCAATCTTGTTTTTTGTTTCGTCTAAGGAGAATGAGGTGTTTTTTTTTAATGCAAACCTTTTATTTCTTTGAAGTTTTGAAAGAATTTGAGGACCATGGGTACCTCGTAGATGGTTTTAATTTATACTTTGAGTGATATGTAAGTCTTGTTATTGCTGTATTTTTTCAGAAAATTGTACCGCTGACGTTCAACTAGTAATTCCATTCTTTTCCTACCCTTCGGCACAATGGGCCGAAAGGGTAGGAAGAGAAAGAGGAGCAATAGAGCTATTGCTCGTGACAAATTCCCTTTGGGAACCCTATCTGAGAGACGTAAAAAGATTCGGGATGAATTTTTAAACAAGTCGAAGGTTTACAAAAAGGAGAAAAAGAAGCTAAAAGAGCTGAAAAAAAAGGTAGTTATAGATCATTTGTATATTAAGCTAAATAAAAGTACTGTCATGCCTTCACTAAGCCTTTATTATATATTGTTATGGTTTTGCTAATCAGCAACTGTAATGTGAGAATAAAGAAAACTKTAGTAATTGAATAATTGAGGGAAGTAGGGCTTTTTTTTTCTAATTCTAAATAGTGATAATTAGTATTATTTCAAAAAAATAAATGCTGTTTGAATTTTTAAAATTGTCTTTATTTGTTCTTTGATTATATTTTATTAGACACTGGTTCATATTGCTCCTGACTTTGGCTACTCATTGTTGTGATAAGAACTTTCTGAAAACTGTGAGCTCTATATCTCACATTCCAAGATCATCACCACTGGTGAAGTTCTTGGAATGTATTAAGAATACAGTAAAGTGTGGCAGGCTGTATAAAAGTTACTGTAGGTGGTTCAATGAGAAACGGAAAGGTGGAGCATCCTTTGCATACAGATTTACAGGCTTGGAAGCAAAAAGGTTCTGTTGGAACTTTACTGCCCCAATCAATATCCTGCTAGAAGTTCCCAATCTATCTAAAGGTTCTTTTCTTAAGTTGCATACATTAGCATTTATGGGAGTTAAACTTAGAGATGCAGTTTCAATATATACACRAGTAAACATTTCAAATCAAAGCCTACAGGAACTAGACCAACTGTGTAGATCTTATTTCAATGCTGTTTCCTTGTTGTTAAAAAGTCCAAACCCTACTGTGTGGACAATTGGCTATGCAATTCCTTTTCATTCTAAGCAGCTTTTTGATACCCTAGGGTATGGCCTTGGTTTAAACTCCATGCAAGGAAGAGAGGCGAAGCACATTAAGCTGAAGCAATATATTGGAAATACATGCAGTAGCAATAAAAACCAACAGTGGTGGACTGTTTTTAGGCATGAATTTGTTAGTATGGTGTGGTTAAGAAAGAAGGATCCCTGTAGTGTTAACTATACTGGAGGAAAAGAAAAAGCATCTGACTCATACATTCCACTAAGAGTTTCAAGAAAAAACACACGATATTGCCATTGTGGTGAAGCAAAATCAAACCCCGATGATGAAGAGTGCCATATATGCAGTAGCCATATCATGAAAATTGTAAAGAAATCTGTGAAAGATGGAAAGGTGGACCCTGCTTTACACTCCTTTTTTGAATGAGCTGCCAAAAACGATTGGAGGACKGGGCACTAGTATCCTGAATTGAATTACATTCAACTCTTGCCCTAATAATTAATTAGTATGTTAAAGTGTATTCCACAGGTATATGAAAACCACTTCAATGTGCCATTGTACTTCAAAACCATTGAAGAGCACAGACAACACAATTAATTTTGTTGACTAGAGTCATTATATCCAAACCTTAATCAAAAACCCATTGTTCTTGGAGTTACTTTGGACAGCAAGCTGTGTTATAAAGAACAACACAGAACAACTGAARRAAGGCTACAAAACCACTACAGCTTTGAAATGAATTACTCACTTTGTTACATAAAATAACAGTGATTTTTTWAAATATAAAACATGAAATAGGTATCTAAGCTAAATCAAAACAAGTACTAGTGTTTTTTTTATATAGGAATATATACTCTTTATTTCATCCTGATATATATTATTTCATAATAATTATACAAATATTTGTATACTAATGCACCTTAATTCAGAAAAGATTGTTGTTGAAAAGACTAGTGTAGAGTGTTGCGCCTGGACTGAAGGAGCATAATATTGTAATAAGCACAAACACTCAACCTTTTTCATGACAACCAATATTCTTCTCTGAATTAGGTATRTATGATAACAAATTAACAGTCAACAATTTAAATACCTCAAATAAAAAAACATGATCCAAAAGGTCTCTAAAAATCTATAGTCATTTTCAATAAACCCTTGAAACAAATCCTAATATTTACTAGTCAAACACAAAAGAGAACAGTGACATACAATGTAAGTGGTTACTATTGTATATTACTTTAGGCATTATTCCACAGGCTTAACAAAMTTATTTTATAATATATAGATGTCTAAATATGTATAGATGAAACTTTGAACACTGAGTGAAAATATAGCCTGTGTCATATCCTGAAACTCTCTTGTATATCAATATTGTTTTCAATAATTTGATTTGCACAGTTTGTCAACTAGCCTGTTGAAAATAAAGTGCTTTAAAATATTGTATAAACTCTATGATAAAAGCTTAATTTATGCTCTATGCAATAGAGTGCAAACACAATACATGAAATTCTGCTACAAATATTTTGTTCAAGATAGTGATGGTACATGAAAATTATAAAATGTGTTACTTAGAAAATAACTTGGCAGCTTAATGTTTTGTTTTTTTAAGTACAGGAAAATAGCTGAGCTCTTGAGGCTTATTTAAACCAATGACTAAGCACACAGCACAAGGTCACTATTTCAATAAAGCAAGGAGTGCATGTTATAAATACACTCTAGTAATCCATATACTTTCATTTGACAAGGTTTTTAACCATATTCTAAGACAGATCAGATAATGAATGCCTGTGCCAGGGCAATTACATGTTTCATAAAAAATAATACAAGGGAGACACTATTTTTCAATCCCATATTACATTGGCATTCATTATATCTATCTTTTACAATATAAAAGCTCGCCTTAATGCTGTGGAATATCATTTTCATTCCAGTATCCATAATGGAAATGAACAGACCAAATTTCTTTGTTTTTGTAAAAAGTGAACTTCAGTGGCATTTCCGGTTTTACTACAACCTCACATCGTTCCTTTGATGCTCGCCCATTAACATATTTCACAAGAAGATCTTCTTTAGCACAAACAACACCATCAAGGTTCATTTTGTCAAAGACAAACACAGCTTTCTTGCTACTTGTAAAGTTGATAGTGACACACGCATCTGTTTCCTTGAACRTATGTCCAAAGTTATTACGCTTCACCAATCGATTARAAATAACCATGAAGACCTCTTCAGGGACATCTATTACAAACTCTCCTGTCCATGGCGAGACAGTGTTAGGTGTAGGCTTTAGACGATTAATTATTTTGTCATGGACCTTTTTAAGACAGCGACAGACCATTCTCTGAGTGCTTACTAGTTGCTGAACGTCCTTGTAACGTGTTCTTGATTGATATTTTTCCTCAAGAACCTCAACACAATGCTCAACTTCACGGAAAAACCCCGATATRTCAGATAAACAGGTAGTATCGTTGGTTTGGGACATGTAATCGAGCTTTGTACTCGATAAAAGTTGCTTCAAAGCCGTGCTAGGTGGTTCGTCTCTAAATAGTTGAGCCGCCATTTTGAATTTAACCCAAAATGCAATGCGCGCCCCCAACGATCGATTGAGAGGGGTCATTGGCCCCAGCGTGATTGTGGCTTAGACAAAGAGAATCCTCTCCTACCTAGTTGCTCATTTTGCTCCTCGCAATTGTACCAGGCCATCAAGAGAACTACTGAGTCGACGTCTGGAGAGCTTGACCCACACATAAAAAACCTTTTAAGTGTCATGTCTTAACTGAAATTCTAGATATAGTGGAAACAATGTAAAATACACATTACTAAGTAGYACAAAATAATCTAGGCAGTATCAATCTGTGGAAGTTATCCTTCAGCCAAATAATTAGTAAGAATAATAAACTACAAATGTGGCCAGGTACCGCTGTGAGATGGTTTTATTTCAGCACCTCTGAGCTTTTGCTGATCTACCGCATCATCAGAGACTAACTGAAAGAGAACACATGTTCTCCTTTACTCTGATGATGTTGTGGATAAGCGAAAGCTCAGATGTATTGAAATAAATAGTGCTAATTAAATAATTGAAGACAAGATTTGCTTATAGAATTCAGTATTTAATGCTATTTTTTAGCACACTTGGTTTTTACTTTAAAACATGCAACATAAATAGTACTAAATAGTCATATTTTATGCCAATTCTATTATTTTCCATGGTTGAAAAATCATTATTAGATTAGTAAAAATGAGGGAGAGATTTTGCACAACTTTAGTGTTTACTCTCTTTATATTTACATTCATGATAACAAAGACAATGCTAAACATTATAAACATAGTTATTTTAAAACATTAACCTTTTCAAAGATTTCAACTTTTAATAAAAGCAAGTTTTATATTATCCATTCTCAGTGTTATCCGGTTCAATTGAGAGTAAATAGTGGTACTCCAAGTCTATTTAGATGACCATATCTCAAACTAATAGTTACTTTTTCCAAGTTTTTCGAGTATTTAATCTTTGCTGGATGCTGCTCATCAACAATAACCTTGCTATAAGAGCCATCCTTTTCAAACTTCAGAAGAGTTGTAGCCTCATCAAGAGTTTTCCCATATTTGTTTGCCAAGGTAAGAAACATGAATTTAAAATGTTCGATTTGAAAGATGTGAATTTCCTCGACGTTTCGTGTGTTCTTTATTGACGTTCCTCCGTTTTCCTCCGTCAAAGATATAACCTTCAAACAGTCAAACACTTCTGTGGGAAGGTTCCATGAAAAATTAATAGCCCAAGGACGAGAAGATGTAGATTTTCTTTTCATTTTTCTGAGAATAGTCTTGTGCCAAAGTATCACGGCTCGAGACAACATTCGTATTGGTTGAGCTAAATGGTACTTGTAAGCCCTTTCGGCAGGAAAAGTATACTTCTTAACAACTGCTCTTGTTAGCTGCAGAACTTCGTTGCTAATATTAAGCGCAAGGGACCGATTTACAGCATCTTGGACGTGTTTATTCGAAACCTCATGCACTTTCACTAAAAGGTCCGCCATTTTGAAAACTATATAACTGTATCATAGTGTTGATAACCGCTGTCAACCTAATGCTGGCGCACATATTCTGAAATGGCGCGATTCAGAGCCCAGGATCCCGGCGTGATTTGCAGCTACAGGAATTGAAATCTGTTTGCCAGAAGTACTTCATTGCTCTCAAAGAGCTAATAGAACATGTGACACCAACAGTATGGACACTTGCCTATGTGGTCCCTTACCATACTGAGCAGCTTTGCAACAAACTTGGCTATGGTCTCGGCTTGAACACTATGCAAGGTAGAGAAGCGAAGCACATAAAACTCGCAAGATATGTAGAAAACACTTGTAATGTAAGGAAACAGTTACGGTAAACAACAGTTTTTAGACATGAGTTCGTGTCTCTAGTGTGGTTAAGAGAAATGGATCCTGTCAACAGCTCTTCCCAGCAATGTCAGAAGGACATGGGGCTATCTTTCATCCCAAAGAAAGTATCAAATGGTGATGACCTAACTTGTTATTGTGGTATGAGTAAAGCTACTAAAGAGTTAGAATGCTGCAATATATGCTCCAGTGACACCATGCAAATGATTAAAGAAAGTGTGGAGCAAGAGAAAGTTACCGATGCACTGAAAAGATTCGGCAATCTGTAGTGTAACTCCTAGAAGATAAATATCACCCCAATAATGTTGTGTTTTCAAGCATGAGGTGCTTGAATGTAAAGCAAAACTATGAAACATTGAACAAAAACATTTAACATTCATAAATAGTTCACAAGATGTTTTATAATCAAAATAATTGATCAATCCTTTTGACAACATTGTTGTTACAAAAACAGGAAGTAGTCTCAAATTGATTAACATATATATTCTTGTTGCTGAATCACAACTTCATTCAATAAAAGTAATTAGCCAGCTTTTGGCTGTAACATATACACACATTTCATTTTTGTCCATAGAAAACCTTAGTAGTAGTAGCATTTTTAATTGCCCAGTTACACTATGACATCACTGCTTGTTTACTTGGGGCTATATTCTATTTTTCTTTTGTGAGTTACGACTGGTTTTAGAGCAGTTTCTTGTGAATATGCTTTGCTTTGACCCCCTCCAACAACTATGATCCTTTGCGTTTCAAGGAAAGATTGTTTTGAAGAGATGTCATAGTGAAATAGGGCAATAATCAGTATCAGTATTATCAGTAGTGTTGAAAAATAAAACATTTTGCTAAAACTAAAGAGTTTGTAAGTAATATTAAGAAATTGAGAGCGAGTGTTTTTATGCAATATTCATAAAACCCTCTGTCATGGTTTTGATTCCTTTTGAAAATGCCTTATGGCTTATTGAGTTTTTGAACAGTATTTAGCAAATTCATTAATATTAATCACAACATTTAACGGTATCCGATTGTTTCGCCTACGCATTGGTTCGCCTACTGAAGTTCGCCTACGTATAAGTTTTCCTACTGAAGTTCGCCTAAGTATTACACTGGCACTGATTCATAAGTAGAAGGATTAGATGAAAAATGAGGAAAACTTTAATGATCAAAAAGGCAGACATATCTTTATCTTCAAGAAAGTTTATGAAAATGTCAAGGCAAACTCAGAATCAAAAGAAAAATCGCGAGTAGTAATCAAGAACGCCAGAAAAGTGTTGAGTGACAACGAGAGTGTTACTAAGATTTCATCTGCTCCGATTACCAAAGTCTCCATTAAAAGAACACATCTTTTACCTCTAAGAAAATTTATTTAAGTATGAAGACGATATAAGCGAGAGAAACGTTTAATACGAACGAGTCAAGTACTTCAGAAGTGTGACAACAACAGCAAAAAGGCAAACTATCAGATGCTACCTATC